GTTATAATTAGAGAAAAATCTTATTAATTCCATTTGTATTTTATAAAACTTTCGTTGGCTCCGAACCTCGGAACTCCGGCACATCAGGCCAGTGTCTTACCCATACACCACCAATGCTACGGAATTTTTTTTCTTTTAACCTTCCTCTTATGTTACATCTCGCTATATAATTCCAGAAAAAAAATCTCATTTCAAAAATCCTTGTGGTCTCGAACCACGGACCTTTCCGTTGTAACGCCGGTACCTTACCTCCAGACCACTAGAACATCTACAGTATAGCTTTCTGCTATCCTCCTCATATTCTACGACTTGGTTTATAGCAGCAGAAAGATCGTATTTATTCATTTACTTTTCAACTTCTATTGACAAAAGACACCGTGGTTTCGAACCCGGTACCTACCCTATACTACGCCAAAGTCTTACCCACGTACCCCCAGATCTAGGCAAATTTGTTACCTTCTCCTTCCTCATATAGTACGACTTGCTTCCTACATGCACAAATTTCTTAAATTTTCTTTCTCCCGAAAATAGTGATGCCTTCGAACCACGTATCTTCTAAACCATACGCCAGTGCCTTAACAAAGGACCGCCATGGTTATGACAACTATTCGCCTTCGTCTTCCACATATCCTACCGCTTCGTTTCTACCATTACAAAATTCCTCTTTACTACTTGCTTCGTTTCAAAGTCATTTTACGACTGACGGTTGGCCAGTCACTTTCCGAAGTGCCCTGATCGGGGCAGTAATGAGTATGGTCTTCGTGACCAAAGGACCCCGTTTTGTCCAGTCGGGCATTTCAACTCCGCTAGTGGAAGAGCGCGCACACGCTGCTAGTAAAAGCGCATGCACAGTCCTAAATATTTATTTCTATATGTAGTAATTACCAGACTAGGAGCTTCATAACTGTTACTCTTCTCCAAATACAATTAGAATGATCAAGTCAAGGAATATGAGGTGGGCAGGTCATGTAGCACGAATGGGGGAGACAAGGAATGCGTATAGGATATTGGTGGGAAAGCCAGAAGGAAAGAGACCACAGGGAAGACCAAGG